AAATGGAAAAACAAGACAAAAGTCCAACATGCAACAAGCTAACCACATCACACCAGTACACTCTCCCGGAGTGTGGGATCTTCCTCAGTGATCGGAACTTTCCTTCGTTCGCTGTCGACAGTACCACCACTGATCTGGTCCTCGGGGTGTTGGTTGCTTCATGTCACTCTGGCACTCTCCCCCTCCCCGGCGTATTAAATCGCGTACAACGACTCTAACACCACTCGATTCGTTCACAGTTGTAGAAGACTATAAACGACTTTAGAAGTACTTACAATAACATTACAAGATGATTCACACAATGCGACAACTATAAAATTAACCAGCAATTAGATGAATTGGAACCCACTCAATTACTTAACACAAATATATGTACAATCAATACATCAAATATTGTGGATTCTGCCTTGACGATCTACCCTTAAAGAATTGTAGGACTTACAGAAGTACGCCTACAACCCATCTCAGGTTGACGCCCTAGGTTGAAAAATCGTCACAGAGTTCATTTGCTGACCTCCTTCTATCATCTATATCCTCAACTCTGAATGGTGACATGCCCATAACATTGTTTCGTGGAATATAGATGACTAACAAACATACAACGTATCTGACCAACCAAGCGGAGGCACAGAGTAATTTACACCAAAGATAATAACATTCAGATAGTAACTTGAAACCTGAAAGGCTTTATCCGTGTAAGTCAGTTTAATAATTACGCCCTCGTACACAGTTGGCTTATCCTCAGTAAACTGATCATTGACTTTCGTCCTTCCAAACGGACCTATACTAGCATAATCATAGCATAAGACACATGGGTTCATGGATGTCCCTTTCACTGTGGATGGCAACACCAACGAAGACTGACTGATACAAGTTGGTGAACTTAGTGGTGTATCAGAAGCTGTTGTTGTTCGACCTTTAGAAGGTTGTCTAACCGTAGGATTACCACCAATGCTACAATATCATCGAACCCGGGCTCTAAACCTTCCTCTTCTAAACGGGAACTGATTCTATGAACCTTCTTTTTAAGCGAACGGTTAATCTCTTAGTAATTGTCTTCTATTCGTATTCGTCTTCTTCCAACTTGTACACGACTGAATCATTCGCGCCTTCAAGTTGCTCACCAATGTCGACCAAGGCCAATGAACCAACATTCAATGTTCACATTCATTTGCACCCTATGTTCCACTTGGAACCCAAAGGAATAATAATAACAATATTTAGGGAACAAATCGTAGTGCAATGTTTATTGCTTAACTAGCTTGGGATCGTGCACGAACGGACGAACGCAACATGACGGCGTGCCAAATGGCATGAATGCTTGACAGTGAGTCTTCAGCTAAATAAGTCGGCTTAAACAGTGAGGGTCAGCGTCCAATGTTGAGTGACGAATGCTCTGGCTAATAATTCTGGTGAATCGTCTGTCGCTACAGGTTCGTGGGAATGATATTAGATATTTAATCGAATTAGTGCCTCCCCCTCATTTTCGATCTTATCATATTGACCGGACACATTTGAAGTTATCATTTGTCAATATCTGGTCTTTCAACAAATCCAACACTGTATTCATCCATTTACGCATACATCCATTCCAATTTGTTTTGATCTTAAACTGTTTGTACTTGTTTAGCTAGTTTAGAATTCCTGTGTCATGTCGACCAGTATTACTGCACTTCATTTTCAAGAAATCGAAACATTCATGCAAACAAAAAGACTCGGTATTATTTATGTTTATCCATTTATAAGTACAGCTTTTCACTTCCAAGAGAGCTTTTCAGCTGTGAAAGTGAAATAATCACCAAAAAGACAATCATCACTGAAATTTGGTTTTTACACACACTTGCTGGCACACTTATTATTCCATCTCCCCGTTAGTTCACCGATGAAACCATGAGATTAGTAGAGTCATCGTAAACTGACCGACTAGTCATTTTTCTTGTTCACAGTATGTTTAAGTCCATTATATCTTTGCGACAGTTTATACCTTTCACTTCATCCATGAAATATGAGTTTACATAATGGACTAATCAACACGTTTTCCGACTGCACAGTATGTCTCTTTTTTACACAAGACTGAAAGATTATTCATTTTAAACTGTTGCTGAAGATACGAACACATAGCTGCTAGATTATTACCCTTTTTAAAACACAAAACAATTGAGCAAACAATATCCTTTTCGATAATTTCCTCCTCTTCTGGCTCTACAATTGTATATGCATGTTTATATACATAGAATATTCTAGATTAGTAGTCAATAACAATATTAGTGTTCTTTTAATAATATCGATTTGTTAAGTAAGATCACAATGGAATTATAGTTCATGAAAGATGCTTGAATTATTAAAATAATAATAAAGATATAGTATCAAATATTATTATTGTTCCCTTGGGTTCCTAGTGGAACATAGGGCTTCAACTGCACGCCTCCACTTGTTTCTGTCTTCTGCTGTACTTTTCACCTGCATCCATGTTAGTCCATACTGTTTCAACTCCTCTTCACGCGATCTCCTCCATGTCACCCACACTTGGACGTCCCACTCGCCACTTCCCTTTCGGGTTCCACTCGAGTGATGGCCTGACGCGCGATGTCACCCAACGGCCTCCTCAGCGAGTGTCCAATCCATCTCCACTTTCTCCTGCATATTTGTTGGGCGATTGGTTCCTGTTTTGTTTGTTCCCATAGTTTCTTGTTGGTTCTTGTTCTTTCCGGCCATCTGATCTTCAGTATAGAGCGAAGACAGTTGTTGATAAAGGTCTGCAACAGGCTGTTGGAAATATTCTTTGTGACCCGCCAAGTTTCTGATCAATCCGTATAGAAGAACTGACTGATTTGACGTTTGTATTGAAAATCCAAATTTTGTTGTTGATGCAGGCTGAGTGACGAAGATTTCTAGATTGGTTTCAGGTTGATGAATGTGTTTCTCGCCTTCCTGATTCTCGATTTGACATCCTCGTCCGTTCCTCCTGTGGTTGAGACAATGCTCCCTAGATAAGTGAATGAATTAACCTCTTTCAAATCCCTCCCGTTGATGTTGATTGGCGCTGGATGTTGCTGCTCTGGTTGTTGTTGTTGGTTGGTTATTTTCATAACCTCCGTCTTGTCTATGTTCACCTGGATCAGTCCTGTCTTTGCTGCTTCTTCGACCAGTTTGTCGGTTTTCGCTTGTAAGTCTTCGATTTTGTGTGACATCAAACATAAATCATCCACGCGCAAAATCCAGGTCTTCTAGGTTATTCATGTCGGTCCAGGATATCCCTGTCTTCTCGTTTCCCACTGTCTGACGCATAATCCAGTCCGCCAATATTAGGAATATCATTGGTGATAATAAACACCCTTGTCTGACTCCTGTGTTTACTACAAACGCCTCGCTGTGTTTTCCGTTGTGGATCACTTGACATGTGCCGTTGTCGTACAGCTGTTGGATAAGGTTGATGAATGTTTGGGGTACGCCGTAGTACTTGAGTAGTTTCCAAATTACTTCATGGTCAACGCTGTCGAAGGCCTTCTCAAAGTCTATAAAGTTGAGGTAGAGGTTTGTTTGCTACTCCATGCTTTGTTCGATGATGATGTGTAGAGTTGCAATTTGGTCGGAACATGATTTGCCTTTCCTGAATCCAGCTTGTTCTGGTCGAAGTTCTGTATCCAGTGTGTCCTTTATTCTCTCCAGGATTATGCGACTCAGGATTTTACTTGGTGTCAACAGGAGCATGATTCCTCGCCAAACCAAATTGCTGCTAAAACTTCAACGCACAAATATATTCAAAATTCTAGTAGCAAATAGAATATCAAATAAAATTAGGGAAATTCCACAAAAATTCCGGATTATTCAAACCTGTATGGCCAAGGTAATGATAATATCTGTACTAGCTTCTTTTGAACACACATATTACGCTTCTTAATGTGGATCCCAACGGCTAGCCTCAGCAATAGGTAGTAATCGAACTCTTAAGGCGAAATTGAGATTTGTTGGTATGCGGTAAATGTCCCTGAACGCTGCCTGGTTAACATCAATCTTGTGTTCTGTATCCACAAGATGAGATAGAATAGCTCTGCGAATAGATTTTGTTCGTCCTTTACTTAACCATACAGGGTGATGTTCGAAAATTCGACGAGAAACACGCCTAAGTGTACGGCCTATGTAATTGGCTCCACAGCAGCAGTTGAATTGGTAGATACACATGGAAGGGGCGAAGTCAGGCAGTTTGTCTTTTACTCCCGAACGCAAAAGAGGAGTGGTTTTGAAGACACAGCGTAATTCGGCGGCAGGGAATGGTCTTTTTACCGCGTACCAACAAATCTCAATTTCGCCTTAGCAGTTCGACTACTAAATATTGCTGAGGCTGGCAGTTGGGATCCACATTAAGAAGCCTAATTTATGCATCCAAAAGAATTTAGTTCAGACATTATCCTTACCTTGGCCATCTAGGTTCGAATGATTCTAAATTGCTTTGTAGAAATTACCTTAATTTTATTTGATATTCTACTTGCTATTGTATTTTTATTATTATTATTATTATAATTTAAGCATCTTTAATGAACTGTAATTCCATTGTGATCTTACTTTACAAATCGATATTATTATTTAAAAGAACACTAATATTGTTATTGACTACTAATCTAGAATGTTCTATGCATATAAACATATACGTATATAATTGTAGAGCTAGAAGAGTAGGAAATTATCGAAAAGGATATTCTTTGCTCAATTATTTTGTGTTTTATAGATTTCTGAATGAATATTTTCGCTATATTAAATCGCTCTTGTCCATTAACATGAAATGTCACAGTATTATTTCTTTTACTGATATAAACGCCCGACCTCTCAACAAAGTATTCAAAAACAATGAATACAGTTCAAAACTGAAATAAAAATCAACACGCGAATAGCTTCCAATTTATCAATATATTTATTCATCCTTATTGATAAACAACTTGAACAGAATAATATAGACAAAGTGAGTGTTATTCACAGAAATAATTTGCTAAGCACATTGTTATTAGTGAAAAAAATAACACTCGTAAGTATATGAAAGATTCAGATATCTCAAAGTGAGTACTTCTGTTTTTCAAAAAAAGAATATCAAGTCATCACATTGCCTATAATTTGAATGCATTGAAAATGGTGCAAGTTAGCTGTAGTGTTCCTCTACTATTTATTATATAGATAGATAACTGCGCTAAACAATAAAATGTTTTCCCCAAATATACGTGTCTGTTGTCATATTCGACTGGCCAATATTATCCAACCGACGCCTACACTGATTGCATCTTTTGTATTTGTCTGTCTGCTCTAACAACAAAAGGCCTTGATAACTTTGATCTCTCAGTTTCTCATGTAATTCCTTATCGTGTTTCAGTTGAGCAGCCTTCAACCATTCGTTTTCTAAGTATTGACGCATAGCCTTTTGTTCTTGTTTCCGTTGCAGTTTATCTGTAACCAAGCTGGAAATGAAAAATATATATACTTATTACGCTAACTGGGGGACGCAAAAATGATACAATATTTGGTCATCATCGATAGAAAATCAATCTAATGTTCGCCTATGAACAAATTGGGATGAAACTAAATGAAGCTTCTGCTGCTTTTGTATTCGATCATCAGAGTTAACTGTAAGGTATAAGTATGGAACTTCGGCACTGTGGTGGTAGAGTATAACTCCATTGATTTCATCTCAATCTCAAGGAAGTATAGGCGCAGCCTGCTGGACACAAAAGTAAGAAGAGGAGCGGACGTTGGCTCAGACCACTATCTCGCACAAGGGACAATCCAAATCAAATTAAAAGCTTTCAGAGAAGCAAGAGCTGCAGATAGACCACAAGCCAAGTTCAACACTCAAAATCTGAAGGACCAGGACACAAAGGACATCTTCGCTGCAAGCATAAAGGACAAAGTCGAGACACAAACCAACACTAGCGAAGAGGTCAGCGTCGAAAAGCACTGGAACAACTTGAAAACAGTGTGGAGTCAAACCTGCATGGAAGTTCTAAGCGGAAAGAGGAGACAGGACAAACAGTGGCTCACTACGGACACTTGGAGACTAACACAAGAGAGAAAGATGGTGAAACAAAAGATTATCTGGTGTACCAACGAGCAACAAAAGCAGGATTTGAATGCAAACTACAAGACACTAAACAGAAGAGTAAAGAATAGTGCCAGAGAAGAAAAAAGATAGCATTATGAAACCATGGCAAGTGAAGCAGAACAAGCTGCAGGCAAAGGAGACCTCGCAACACTCTACCAAACAACTAGGTATCTGTCGGGCAAAAGTTTGACACAAATTAAGCCGGTGAAGGATGACAATGGAAAGTCAATCACCAAAGAAGTGGAGCAAAGGAGACACAACAACACAACAACAACAGACAACAATCAGCATAAATGAGAGGAAACTGAAAGAAACAACCTCCTTCACCTACCCACCCACCTGGGAAGCATCGTTTCAACTACAGGTGGACGGAACTGATGAGGATATCAAAGCAAGAATTGGAAAAGCAAGACAAGCTTTCACTACTCTCAAGTCTGTGTGGAGGTCAACAGCACTCAGCATGCAAATGGAAATAAGATCCGGATTTTCAACTCCAATGTGAAGTCAGTGCTACTCAACATACGGATCAGAGACTTGCACTGCGCGTCATAAAGAGCACCTCAAACAAACTACAGACCTTCATTAACAGGTGTCTTCGCTCACTACTACTCAAGATCAGATGGCCGGCCGAGCAGGAAAGATCAGCAACAGAGATCTCTGGCAATGAGCGAACCAACACAGCAGGAACCGATTGTGAAACAAATAGGCAGGAAGAAACGGAGGTTGATTGGATTGGCCATACTCTGAGGAAACCATCAAGTGACATCACTAGACAAGCCATCGCTCGAGTGGAACCCGAAAGGGAAGCGGCGAGTTGGTCGTCAGTGCAAGGGTGACTTGGAGGAGGTCATGTGAAGAGGAGATGAAAACGTGTGGGAAGACTTGGAGCCAGGTGAAGACTCTAGCAGAGAACCGAACGTAATGGAGACGCAGGGCTGAAACCCTATGTTCCTCTAGGAATTCAAGGATAGAAAAATAATAATTTTTTTAAATCCTAAGAAGCTGTTTCAATCATCCAGTACACTTTGTAGAATATTTTGAGAAGTCTGAAGACTAACGGCAGAAACTCACTCATCGTGTACACGCTTTAATACTTTTTCTTCTTGTTCCTTTTCATAAAGCTGGTCATTTTTCATTTGGTTTTTGGATTCTTCGATCGACTTCAACTGGTGTTTTTGAATCGATTTTGCAATCAGATTACGCTCAACTAACTTCTTATCATTTTCTTCAAATATTTTAAACATCATTCCCAGGGAGTTGTTCACCGATTTGGGTATGTGTTCAGGCTTACATTTTACCTAGAATACACAAGTAGGATGAAATGTGAACAGCTTTCTAAGCAGAACTTGAAAATCTAATGAGTATAGAAAAGTGTTTAAAATGTAGACAGGGGTTGTCAATACAACTGACCCAAAACATCTCAACGATAATTGATGCAGATACTAGCAAACGCAGTCAACTTCTCTTAGGTTTCCAACCAAAAAAAGAATTCAAATTCTCGCAAACTCTTCAAAATTGTGCTGAGGTGATGCAAGTAAATTAAAAATTAGTTTCTTTGATATTGTTAGAACTTATTGTTATTATGCCCTAGACAACTAGCCACGCTTACTGTATGTGTGGTCTGATTATACTTGCCAGTTATGCACACGGAAGTAGATGGACACTATTCACTTCTATTAATGCCATTCCACATATTGTCTTCAGTGTGATATTCAGGGCTAGGAAGTTTTCGTAGAATGCATCATTTTGTTAAAATTGTGCCATTTCACCGGTAAGTATTCAGTTTCCCTTCACGAAAAGCGTTTCCAACAGCCTGCTGAAGACTTTCACCAATGGTTGCCTTTGCTGGCTTCTTAGAATAAAGACGAGAAATAAGCCAGAAACATGCTCAGTAGACCATCGGGTGATATCGCGTCCCAGACCCTCGAGTGGAATCTGGATGAGAAATAATGATTCGAGTATACGACGCTGACATGCAGGAGATCGTGTAGGAACAGGGATGAGAGCCTGTGGGCAATCGTGAAGCCAGTTATCGAATACTACAGAGAAAAGGACGAGGTGAAGATGTGCAGTTGAAGGCCTATGCTTTAAACAGAACTTAAATAAATAACTATATATGTATTTGGGCATTGGGTATATGATATTCATTATAATAAAGGTTTTTTGTATTTCCCAGTGAATGAATGGGAAACAAAACGATATCGTTATTCTTACTGATGTTTCGCTATTTAATGCTGCTAATAGCTTTATCAAAGTAGTAATATTAAGCCAGAATTTACAAAGTCTCAGCTTATATATAACAACTTAATCATCGTTCCTCAGCATGGGGTCACTTTTCGTTGTCAAATTGGCCAGCTGGTAAAGATAACAAAGCCAGTTGTAGATTGTTGGATTTGATAAGAGTGTAGAATTGTAAAAGCAGCGTGTGTTTACATAATGAAATTGCTTATCACATTCGTGCTGATTTGGTCATTTCATGAAGGAGCGGTGGGGTGTTGTAACCAGGTCAAATTCTGTTTTTCATATTCCTATTCAGACAATTTGGATTCTACTTGATATGAAGTGCTTCTGATATTAGAAGTTCTTTGTTATTTCTGAAGTTTTTCTGGATTATTTCAATATTGTCAAAATCAATTTTGTGACCTGATTCTATAGCTGATGATTTTTCAAACTTTTCTAGTTGAACAGGATTTACTTCTCGGTGGTCGAAGAGATGGTGTTCATTTCTTCTGATTTCTCGAGAAGTTTGTCCGATGTATATCGCATCATATTCCAAGCACTTTTTTTTATAGACACAATTAGATACAGAATCTTCAAGAATTCGGTATTTTATATGGACAAGGTTACTTCGCAGTGTGTCTGATGTTTTGAAGAAAACTTTAATGTCGAGCTTATTGAGTACTCGTCTGATGTCTTCGCTCTATATATAATGACAACTGTTGAGCTCCATGTTTTCGGAATACGTTTTCGACCATACTTAATGTCAGTGTTGATTTTGTTGATGAAGTTCATTGGGTAGTTGTTTTGCTTGAGAGTCTCAGTAATGTTTAATATTTCTTCTTCTTTTTCTTACTCATCCGTTATCAAGGAGTGCACCTGTCTGAGAAGACTTGAAACAACTGATACCTTTGCACTTATGGGGTGTGATCATCCGAAGTCTAAATATTTATTGGAGTAGGTTTTCTTCCTCAATATATACACGCCAAAATGTTCGTTTTCCCTCCTCTTAACTAGGCAGCCCAGAAATGGTATTTCACCGACGTCTGATTCTGCTTCTGAAGTAAACTGGATCCTGGGAGATAGATTTTGTATTTGCTTCAGTTTCACCAGTTTCCCCAATAGTCACTGATCTATTCATGAATAGATTCGAAGATAACATCTTTTCAAGCATACTCACTGCTAAAATGTGGTTAAGAAATGTAGATGATACTTTTGTAGTGCTAAAACGAGGTCTACACAGTTTATTATTGGAGAAAATTACTAATTAATTACACATATATGAAAATTACTAAGATTTATCAGGATAGGTTTTAGTTACATCTACACAACGTAAAACTCAAAAGTACTTTGTCATATGAGTTAAAAGATTTATCTACTATCAGACGTTGATTATTACTAATCTTACGATTTCAAGTAACCTGAGTTACTTAAAGATTTCAATGATATAAAAGAGTGAATCGGACCTCAAACTATAACAATAATACCAGAGAAGATTTGCAGCTCAGGTGGATGATTTGCAATTAGTAGTGTTCTCTGAGCTAGTTGGTTTAGTTGCAAAGGAGCTTTCGTCGTCCTTCTGGACAACATCCCCTTTCAGCGCAATTTTTAGCATAAAGTGAACTGATTTAAATTTTCCATGAATGATAGAATCGTGTCTCCAGGTAACCATCTTTGCATATGCATTGATCCTTTTTTATTGATGTCACAGCATTATTTACTTCAATTAGTCCAAAACTAGCAAAAGAAACTTATGCAACAATTGCTCTATAGCGATGAAAACATAAAAACACAATGTTCAACGTGGATAGGACTCATAAAGTCATGTCTTACAACATATTTCCAATTCAATACTCAAATATATGAACAGATAAAAGGAACACCAATGGGATCGTCGCCCATATCAGGATGAATAGCTGAAGTTGAGTTATGCAAAGATTAGAATTAATAGCTCTACCTATAATTAAACCAAAAGTCTGTGTACGTTACATTGATGATACATTTGTAATAATTAAAAGAAATGATTTGGAATATACCCATAAACTAATAAACAACACATTTGAAGACATCAAATTCACAAGAGGAGAAGAAGAATTAGATAACAAAATCCCATTTTTACATGTCTTAATCTAGAGAACAAAC